AATGATAAAAAATTACTGCTACAGTTAATAGACAAGCAAAAGGTGATTTTGGAAAATTTTTTTTTTTTTTTTTAAATATGGAAGTTTTTTTTTTATTTATTTATTTATTTATTTTTTTTTTTTTTTTTAAACCTTTTAATGTTTTTTGATAATGTGGAGTTAGAAGAATTTTAACCCTGCATTAGTCACCTCAGATTTTCAATGATGAATAGTCCCTTGGGGTGGGGTGTTTAGACACCTCAATACAAAAATGCTTATAATGTTATAGTTATGTAAAATATTGTCATACTGGTGAAAAAAAATAACATAATAGACAGTCTCCATTACAATGTACAGGCTGTTCCAAAAATCACACGGCAATTGGAAGAAAACGTACACTTTATGAAATAGCAATCAGGGAAAATTTGCATGACATCATCTTCCATAATTCAACCAATAAAATGAATAGTACCCTGGGGTGGGGTGTTTAGACACCTTGCTACAAAAATGCTTATAGTGTTATAGTTATGTAAAATATTGTCATACTAGTGAAAAAAAGACAACATAACAGGCAGTCTCCATTACAATGTACAGGCTGTTCCAAAAGTCACACAACAATTGGAAGAAAAAGTACACTTGTGAAATAGCAATCAGGGAGAATTTGTATAACATCTTAATTTGTTCAAGAAAATTTCTTAATAATATATTGTCACATAAAGAAACATGATTCCATTTGGTAAATAAATATAAAATTTACAAGGTTATCAAGGGTAATTTGACTTTTGGAACACCCTGTACATTAAATCCAAACTTGAACTGAAGATATAATTATTCATTGAAATGAAAATTATAATAAATTTATTTCATAAACAATGTTATAAATTAAATTGTAGGTGAAAGACACCAATCTAATATCAGAGAAAAGTTTTATTCATCAAAAATAACCACAATATATTTCCATTAATAGAAAGATATTACATTAGCTAAACTCATAATTACAGGATTGAAAGAATATAAAATAAATGTAAATCTTGAAAACTTACCTTCATTAGTCAGGAGACGGGGGTGACAGGACACCTCAAAGAAGACAAAGTGACATCTGTTTCCCACGACAACTGAACTACAATTGCACTGCACCATGTGCTATACATGCTTCTTGAATCAGGAGAGTAGTGGGAGGGAGAAAAAGAAACCATTTGCTAAGTAGGAATTACGAGCATTTAAAAAATTGATTTGCAAGTAATTGGCAAAGGAAGCTGCATATGGAGGAAGAGTGAGGATTGTGAAATGGGGGTCACTGTTAGATTGGCTGACCTTTTAGATCTTGCACTCGCTTCTTGAAGATGATTCAGACTAGCAGATTGAAAACCGCTGTCTACTAAAACATTGATCTCCACTCTACCCATGCCAAGGCTAATTGCTCAAGGGTGTTATGAGGTAAACCGACAGCTGACGAGTTGTTCTTCAGCTTGTCATTGTATCTAAACCATGGACATCTTATGTTCATGTAGCCCTGATCTAACTGGCTGTAAATTAGTATCTTGGGTATCCTGTCATAAGACATTCTTAAGACATGACCAATCCACTGCAACTGAAACTGTATGAGGAAAGTCTCAATTCCTCTAAACAAACAGGTCTACATTAGATGTCCTGTCTTGAGGGCTAACTCTACAGATGGCATACAGACACACACACACACACACACACACACACATATATTGTCATCCACATACAAGCCTTTTTCACTGTATCACGCACAGTTCATCAGTGTGGCTAGACATCCAATTGCTTCAAGCCGGGATCAAAACTCGACCGATTTGGCATCAGTCTGAGATTCTACCCCTGAGCTATTGGTGCACAACAGAAAAAGGAAATCTTTTAATGTATTATATATGTGATGTATACAAATGCCAGTAGCCAAGAGTGCTTACTTCATAACTAAAGAGCTAATATATATATAATCTTTCAAGCAATGCACACAAAATAGAATTTTGTTGGGCCATGATGTTCTCTGTGGCTGAGCAGTCTAAAGCATACCATGTAATCATATATGGCTATTGCAAACTCCTAATCAAGACTTCCTAATGATGTTGCAATCAAATGTGGCTTTTTAGCACATGGCTAATGACTTACTTTGTTTACTGCAAATCCTACATGCAGGAGTCACAATTT